AGATATGTTATAAAGGGGAGAATTTGGAGTAACTATCATGAAGAAACCATAGTGTTTTGAGCTTTTGAAATGAGTGTTGGACTGAAAACGAGGGAAGGACCTAAGGTTGAAGACTATAAACAAGTTCCACTCTAAACATTCCCAAGGTGGCTTTAGAAGTCCGATCAATCTGAAATTTTGATATGTTATAATAGATAGCATTTCAAACAACTTTGATGAAGGAACCAAAGTCATTTGAGTACAGGAAATCACAGAAACAAACTGAAACCGAGCATACTGCTGTGAAATCAGGAAATGGTAAACTTCTTGTGATCATACCAACGTTTCAGAGCCTATACTAGTCGGATTGAGCTGAAATTTGAGTATGTTATAGGAATCATGGAAATGAACAACTTTTATGAAGAAAGTTTTCTCATTTGAGCTTCCGAAATTTGAGTTCTCGGCTGCTCCAAGGAAGTGACGAATTTTGGATTTTGGAGAGGAACAAAAGAAAAATGAGGATGAAGATAAGTGAATGAGGAAGAAAGGATGATACAATGAATGATGAGAATAAGAGTGAATTTATGATTGAAAAGCCTTAGGCTAGGTGAGTCACCAAGTTAAGAAAGAGTGATGATACAATGAATGGGGAGGAAGAGCTTAATTAGGCTAGGTGACTCACCATTTTAGACTAGGTGACTCAACTCTTCATAAATGGTGGATAGGAAAACTTGAGGCAAGGGGGGAAGAATGAAGGAGGGAAGAAATTCTTGGCTTACACGTTGCCTCCTACTCTTTTTTTTTTCTTTTTTTTTTCCTACAAGGGTATTTTGGTAATGATCCACACCTAGGGTATTTTGGTCATGTTTGTCCAACTTGAAATTAAACACACTTAATTTAATAATCTCAATCCAAAATCACTTGATAAAATACCCATGTCTGCTGCGCAAATCTCACGGCCTGGAGTTCCGGGCCAAGGGGATATGCGTTGACACGCGGTTTCCTGCTTTTGGGTGCGGTGCGGTTGTGCGCGGACGTGCCAGCACAGTCTACCGTGCGTCGAGATGTTTGAAGCGGGTGAAAATGTTTAAATGGTGCGCCTGTTTGAACTCGTCTTCTAATCAAACGATTGTAGCCGAGAGAGGAACTAGTCTCGGCTGTTAGGTTCACGGCCTGAACTACAAAGCCGTTGAGTGGTGCTGTTGGTGGGTTTTGGGCGGTGCTCCGGCGCGCTGCTCAGGGAGCGACAGTCATATGATATCTGGGGTGTGTGAACGAATAACAAGGGTGGTGCTCCGGCGCCTTGAAAATCAAGGGTCGTATGATATATTGATGAATGAATTTTCCTTACAAACTATCACTACTCCTAGGAAAGCAAGTAAAATATTGAAAGTGCATTACATGAAAATATAAGTTGCTCTGTGGGAGGCTTTTGTTTGGTGTTTGAACCCTTTGAATGTAGCTTGAGCCTTGTATTTATAGGAAGGGTTCCTGGAGGAGTAATCGAGGCTTGAAATCTGCATGGTGGAGCCTGATTAGAGCAAGTGGGTAGTCTAATCGACATTTGGGATCGTGAAATATGGTGTTGTGACCCCCTGAAATCCTGGTGAATCTCGGCCGCCGCTCCTGATCGTGGGTTCTGGGCTTCTGGCCGTGGAGACGCGTTTATTGCTCTGATAGCTGGTGACCCAATCTCTCAAGCTGCAAGAATTCTTGTGAGAATGTCCACGTCTAATCACTCTGTTTTCTGTCGCCAAATCCTGACTTCAGTCACTTCCCACCTTCCCTCGTGCATTAAATGCTTATTCTTGGCCAGTGGGTTTGCTGCAATAAGCAGAGGCACTACTTCATTAAATGAAGCGTGGGACCCTGCTGCCACTTGATGATCTGACTTTAATGCCTTTGGCCGCGATTCTGCTCGGCCTCGGCCTCGGCCTACAATCGAGGCCGAGATGATCGTGCCTTAGCAACTTTCCTTTTGTCCTTAGGGAGGCCGAATACCTTGGCGAAACGCTGCGTTTCAGTTTTACGAGCAAGTGCTAGGGCCAAGAAAAGGGGCTCCTTCGGCCAGTTTATGGCCGTGATTTATTAGGCACAAACAACCTATAATCATTCTCCACAATTATATTATTTTTCACTAAAATATGAAAATCCACCTTAAATTTTTCGGGGTATTACAAACTTCTTCTCCATTTCCCACGAACACATTCACTTCATCCTTGCTTGGCAGCCTCTTGCTTGTAAACTCCTGCAAGGAATTAGCCACATGAATAGAAGCACTGCTGTCTAACCACCATGAATCAGATGAGAAATTAACCAAATTAGATTCGAAACAGACCAAAATCAGATTGTTATTATCTTTTCCCTTCTTCTTTTCCAACCACCTGTTGTATTTCCTGCAGTCTCTCTTCATATGACCTGCTTTCTTGCAAAAGAAACAACCAAAACCAGTTGTAGGTTTCAAAGCCTTATCTGCTATGCTTTCTTTCTCTTTCCTAGTTGCAGCCTTATACTTATTTTCCTTGTTCTGTTTAGTCTGAATCATGTTAACCATCTTGGTTTCCTTTTCTCTTATGATGTTGTGCTCTTGTTGGACAGAAATGGTAATGAGATCATTCAAAGTCCAGTTCTCCTTCTGAGCAGAGCAGTGTAGGTTTCCTTGAGAGATTTAAATTCCTTAGGTAGTGAATTCAGTGCAAAATGGACCATCATATCCTCATCTACTGTCATATCCAGCTCCTGTAGTTTTGTCCCTATGTCAATCAAGTTCATGATATGAGCTCTTACACAACCTTGTCCATCATATTTCATATCAATCAATTGATTCAGCAGGGTACTTTTGACAGCTTTCTCGGATTCCTTAAACCTTTGTGCAATTGCCTCATAGTATTGTTTTGCATTCTCAGATTTGGGAATGCTTCCTTTCACTGATGAAGCCATAGCCCTTTGCATGATCAACATAGCCATCTTGTTTGCCTTTTCCCATTTTGCAAACTTAGTCTTAGTTTCTACAGAGGCATCCGCATCTGGTACTTGAAGGGGTTTCTCTTTGAGCACAAAATTGTAATCCAAAAAACCTAGAGATATTTCCAGATCCTGTTTCCACTTGCTATAATTCGATCCAGTCAAGGTTTTGATGGAGTTGTGATTCACTGTAGAATTTGCAATACAAATGTAATAAAACTGTCCCTAAATCTTTATTTAAACATGTCAACTTATACCTGTGGGTTTAAGTTAGTATGTTCCAAAACCCTAAACAGTTAACTGTACAAACTTCCTGCGCAAGTGACTCACATCTGTGGATGTAAAGACACTTACAAGCCAGTGCAGTCAACTGTCCAGATTGTTCCATCATTGTTGTGATCAATCTGTACAATTTCCATATGTGGATGGAGAATCATATAGAAAGCTATGAACACAGATGCAATTTTCTGACCAAATTGTCAAATTCAAGAACTCCTACATAGCTTGAGCAACTGTGGCTTACTCATTTTGCATAACAGTTTTCAAATTATTGGTCAAAACTTTATGAGCAGTGATAACCTTATGCTCTTTAATAGTTAAGATTTGTAAACAAAAGAAAAACTGCATACTTTTATAGCGTACAATTAAATAGTTAGATTAAAGAACAAAAGCCTAGAGCTCTGATACCACATGGAAGTCTGTACTTAGCTTTTATGCAATAATACTAACCTTGTTTAGCCATGGTAATTGTAGAGAGTCTTGATAATTGTATAGAGAGTCTTCTTCACCTATGCAGCACTTTAGTTTCTCTTTCTCTTAGATAGGGTGAGATTTGAATTGAGAGTGTGTTTGCTGCAAGGGAAGGGACCTCTATTTATAGATGCATCACTTCGAAAGCCTTGCCTATCAAGAAGCATTCGAGTGTCCTTTTTGAATTAGAATAGGTTTGTTTCAATCCATGTTATGTCAGGAATCCTTTTAATACTTGTGTTTAACTTTAATAAGCTCTGTACAAGTATTATCTCATAAGGTTGAGTTCTATTTCTTGATCAATCAAAAACTCGAGTCCTCTTGGGATTAGAAGATCATCTTTTGTGGACTGAGACAATAAATCGTCTTACAATTTGAAGTTAATGATTAAAAAAGCAGTGCAAAATTGAAAAAAAACAATCGAACAAGATGTGACAATCATTAATCTAATGTTCACCCGTCTGAGATCTTTGAAATGTTGGATCAATGCATGTAAAATGATTAAAAAGATCTTGTTTTGTTTTTCTTGTAAATGTAAAGGCTTAATTGTTACAGTATCCTTTCAACCAAAAATAAATAAAAATGGTTACACTACTCCTGAAAGTTCACTCAAATCTCACATTGCCATTTGGAAGTTAACGTGACTCATTTTGCCCCATTGACCATTGTTTGGTATATCACTTCCCCCTTACCGTCAACTTCATCCCAAACTCTATTAAAAGCGATGATGTGGCATTGTTATATTGGTAAATTTGTACACATTAACCATCTACCCCAATTAGAGTGGATGATATGGCAAAATAGAGCCTTTGGGTACTATGTGATTTCACTCAGAATACGTGTTTGCCCATGTCCTCTCAATTTTAACAATGAAGTACCCCATCATTGGAAATTTGTTGTGTTGTGGCTTCGTTGTTAATTTTACATTGGGCTAAGCTGGGCTGGCTCGATCCTAAATTTTCGAGTTCGGGTCAGACTCAGGCTAGCTCTTATGTGCTTTTTTTATTTTATGGGTCGGGCTGAGGGTTCAATTGTTAAAGCTTGAGCCCACCCATTGGGTTGGGCCTCAATGGGATTGACAGGCCGAGCTCGCATGGACCTAGGCGGCTGGGCTCCCATGGGCCTTAGTTTTCTTATTTTTACTGTTAGCCCATGGGCGGAACCAGTGTGCTGCAACCCAGTGTAGGTTTTTAAGAAAAAAATATAAAACTTATATATTTAACTTATTTTCAATATTAGCCCAGTTTGTGGCGAACGTATTAAGGCGCAAGAAGGTGCTGCTACACCTCCCATTACTGGAAAAACCATTGTAGGTGCTTCAAATTGCCCATTTGCTCAGTTGGTGGTAGGTGCTTCAACAATGTAAATAAGGAAGTACCCCATATTTGGATTCAAATAAAAATACTAGAAAATTAAATTCTCACCAAATCAAAATATGAAAAATCGGTTTTAGTGAAAAATACGATTTAGGCTAAAAATGATGGCTCATTAAGTCAATATATACTTCATACTAAAATCCCATAAAATCAAGTTTTCTTATTTGATGTGTGAGGAATAAAAGCCGCCAAAAATTATCTTGAGAAAATGATTATTCCGAAAAACCATTTTTCATACTTAGTCAATATTTTAACAAAAAATAATTTTTCATGTATGATATAAATGCATGAAGGGACCTAAGGTCAATCTAGGTAAAAAGCCTTAGATGTTCAATCCACTATGATGTTAAACCCTATTTGGTTTATGTTAAAACTTATTGAAAATTAGTTTATGGAGCTATGAACTAGCGTAGTTTATATGATTTAATGTTTACTTTATTTCTTGAATGACTATAGAAATTGTAAGTACCCAAAAAAATAATCAT